GGAAAAGCCAGGTAGTCCGTCAGTGTCGGCTTCATCTGTAAGGCAGGGTTAAACACCTCCCTACCTTCCAGAGACACTGGGATGCTAAATTCGTGAGCAAAGTACCTTCAGACGTGTGGGTGGAAAGTACCAAACAAGGTAAGAGTGTCGTTAACGGCAGTGAAAAAGAGCCAACAGGGATTTTAGATCTCAGGTGCAGTTTGCCCACTTTAAATTCCTCATATCGTGGGTCTGCAGAGCATCAGCTGTGAAGACCTGAGCCAACTCACTCGATTGCCTCAAAACAACTGTTGACAACTCCACATAAGCCTCAAAAAGTACAAGTTTCCTTGGACAATACCTCTGTCAGATATGGACAGGGCAGGGAGATGAGTTAGATAAGGAGGTCCCAAGGGAGGGGAACCCCTCTGGGAGAGAGCAGGGCCGTTAACACACAGGACCCTTCACTTGGCTTTGGAAGGGAGGAATTTTTGGACGGACCCAGTCTCTCGCCGCTCTGTTGTCACACATTAGCAGACAAACGCAACTGGCCAAAAAAAGTCTGCTCAGGTTCTACTGACTGGGAATCTTAAGCAGCTCGATTATTGAATGCTGGCTGATCACTGGAAGGGAGGGATTTTGAAACACGTCCCTTACAGCCGTGACAAAACGGCAATGCGTGCAGCCCGACGTGCGAAGGGAAGTGTTGAGCTAACGTGCACATGAAACACAAGGCCACTTCAGTTGCATATCTTATTTCCTTATTTTGTTCTGGATCCTTTCCTTTGTGTTCTGAAGATCTCTCCTGCCCCAGAAATACATTTCCAAGCTACCTCCTTTTCCCAGGTAAATCCATCCCCAAATCCTCTTTCTAGCAAGCCTGTTGGAAAGAGATATATATCCTTATTACATCCCCTGATTGGTGTGAACCGAAGAAAATAAAGTCATAGGAGTAAAGAACTAACAGGAAAATTCAGGCTGTGCTGGGCCCTGGGCTACTCAAGCACACTAGTGCCTGCTTGTCTGTTCGAAATATTGTCAAGTCTCACGGCGGGATCACCTTTACATTGATACAAATATCAAACCTGTCATTACCATTAAACAAATGACAGCCTGTCTGCAAGGGTTAGCCTTTTGCTGGAATGAAACTGCATGACATATTTGGATACAAAGCACATGCAGATCCTGCTGAGCCTTTGCTGCACTGGTAACACGTAACCTTTCAGCTTGCTTTCAGAAGAGACAGATTCTCTCCCCGCACTGAAGAGCGTGAAGAGGCTTGGAGAGAACCTCTCATTCCCTCCTCTGGGAGGAGAGGAGATCTGAGCCTTTGTTCCTCCCTGAAACTCAGGGACCGCGCTGCTGCAAGGACCAACAGACACACGGTCCTACACATCACTTTCCTGAGGGAAAAGAAAGCCGTGATTCAGCATCGGTTTCTCTCCTCCAGGTGCAGATGTGTGCACGACATCGTGTGCTGGGCTACGCCGCTCGCACCATGCACGCAAGCCCCGTTGTCTCCCAAAGCCGCCAGCCCGAGCTCCGTGTGTGTGCAATTCAGAAGGCAATATTGTCTCAGGGATTAAGTCCAGGCACAGAGGGAATTACCTGTCTCTCTTCAGCTCTCTTCAGGCCCATCTACCAAAACAAACAATGCAGCGTTTCCGTAAATGCTGCTTATACCAACGGGGAAATACACCACACAAGAGCTGGTAAGACCGCAGCAGCATCACCTGCTGAGGATCACCACATTATAGCGAGGAAAAGATCTGATTTCAACGCTTCAGTCAGACCTTTTCCTGGTCCCACTCGGTGCCCTTTCATGGCGAGACTGAAACCACACTTGCCGAGTTACTCCGTTCTGTCCCTGACACTCTCTGGACGTGATCCCAAACCATCAAGAAGCAGATGTCCCTACCCAGGTTGCCAGCACTGAAGGTGAAAGTTTATTACTGTCTCTTTGCATTTCCCTTGATATAAACAGGAAACAACCAGCATTAGACTCACTAAATAAAAAGCCAAACCAGATAGGCAAGGCAGAAGATGCTTCTTTTTTCCATACACACCCTTTTCCCTCTCATTCACATACAAATTACTGTTGCATCCAGGTGGGAGGAGAGTTTGAAGAGGGGAGGGGGGGGG